CAAATCACAGTACCTACAGGTTATCACTCTTATTATTAAGACAGGACTGAGGCAAAGGAAGGAAGCTGAACTTGAAGGAATTTGACATACACAGTGTTTCTCAGTTGTGGCTGCACAATCAAAACACTTAGGGGAGCTTTGAAAAATACCAGTGTCCGGTCCAGTCCAGGAGAGTGTGATTTAGTTGTTCTGGGGAAGGGCTGGGGCATCTGTCTTTTTAAGTGGTTCCTAGTGATTTTTATGGGAACTGGGTTGAGAATGTCTGGTTAGGGGAGTGTAGGGTTAAAAGGCTGGACATATTTGCAACGCGTGTGTAGGGGTGCTCCTCAGGAGTGAAAATAGGTCAGCCAATGTGTCCGGCCTGTTCCCTTGCCTTACACAATATAATTCTTTTCTTCATATCCCAAACGCCTTCAGAGCACGATTCTCAAATCTACAAACACACATAGTCCGTTTATTCTGCTGCAGCAAGAGTAAAGACTAAAGGGGGAAAGTCCATTACTAAACCAGTAACTAGCAAATTATGTCTAGTTTCAGAGAAAAGACCTCAACCTTTTTTGTGGTAGGAAATGAACATTTCTTGAGAACCCTTCTATGATAGGAGTCTTCACATTGGTTTTAGGGGGCTTCATATAGATTTTCTCATGAGAAAGAAATGTAGTATAATTTTACAAAGCAAAACCTTGATGTGACTCTTACACTGGGACCAAAGAGGACCAGGCCAGTCTTGGGTAAAACCGGACAGAGGGGGCAAAGGCGGTCCTCAAAGTTCTTACTTCCACTTTGCCCACAGAGTATGGTATATCCACAACCCTTGCCTCCACCCCCCAGGCATTGTTGCAAACCTTTCTCTGCCTCTTGTGGCATTTTCCTACCCCCAGATCTTTAATAAATGACAATGGATGGCATAATGAGATAATCAAGCAAAGTAATATCTGATTAAAGGTTACTGGTCTTATAGAAAATAATGCTTCTCTCTAGTTTAAATTCCAGTTTTTCATGAAGACGCTTAAGGAATGATCCTAAGATGGGAATCATTTCAGACCCCTTACATGGAAGATAGGGGAGATTATATTTTTAACAGCTTCACTGACATACAATTTACATATCATAAAAATCATCCACCTCAAAATAGCCAAAAGGTAGGAGCAATCCAAGTGTCCATCGATGGGTGAGTGGATAGGTAAAATGTAATATGTACATACATACAGTGGAGTATTTATTTTCTCTTAAAGAGGGAGGAAATTCTGACACATGCTACAACATGGATGAGCCTTGAAGACATTAAGTTAAATAAACCAATTATGAAAGGACAAGTACTGTATGATTCTAATTATATTAGGTACCTAGAGTTGTCAAATTAATAGAGACAGAAAGTATTATGGTGGTTGCCGGGGGCTGTGGGGAGGGGGAGGTGGAATGGGAAGTTGTGTATTGGGTTTGGAGTTTCAGTTTCACAAGATGAAAGAGTTCTGCAGATGGATGGTGGTGATGGTAGTACAACGGAGTAAATGTACTTAATGCCACTGAATTGTGCACCCCCAAAAGGTAAAGATGGTAAATTTTAAATTATGTGTATTTGTAATTTTAAAAAATATAAATTCTCCCATTTCACGTGTACAATTCAATAGTTTTTAGTATATTTACAGAGTTATGCAGCCATCACCGTAATCTAATTTTAGAACATTTTCCATCACACCCTGCCCTCCACCCCCACAAAAACCCCCTCATACCCATGAGCAGTCACTTGGGGGAGATATTTTTAACAGGTCATGGGTGTCATGTGTTATTCTTCCAGGACTTGACTTCACAGACTCTTAGAAGGGGCCTTAGAGATTTTAGTCCCACCTCCTCAGATGAACAAATTGAGGCTCAGAGAAGCAAAGTGTCTTGTCAAAGGTCACACAGCAAATTCATCACCAGAGGCAGGTCTTTTGATTTCCCATAGAGTTACTTTTTGTAATACAAAAGTGCCATGTCACTTGCTTCCTTCACATTGATGCTGAGAGTAGATTGAAGGTATTAAGAAGATGTTATCCTTTCCTGCCGGGGACAGATGGGCTCTTTTTCCAGGCTCTCTTCTCACCCACCTGAGTCGGGAGGTACAGAGGAAAGAGAGGAGAGAGGAAAAGTCTGCAACTGTGTCCAGTCACACGCTCCCTTGTGCCTTAACTCTATTAGGAAAGAGCTATAATGAGTCTTATGGAGAATAATGTCGCGGCCTCTCTTAGAAGAGAGACTGGAAATACAGCCAGGTGTAGGGACTTTACTTTCGAACGATGCTTGCCTTTTGTGGAGGTGGCTGGGGTAACCAGTGTCAAACAGCAACACCATGTATCAGAAATGCCAAGGTCTTGGGCTGGCAGTGGTGGTCATTATGTCTCCTGTCGTCGCATGATTGCTGGGAAACAGCAGAGGAAGTGAGTTGAGGCTTTTATACATCCTGCCACCTTCTGCTTCTTGCAGAGCCTTGGCCAGGGCAGTAGTTGGATGAAAGTTGGGGTTTGGAGTAGGGTGGAGGACTAACTTTGTGAGCAACAGCCTTCAATATTCCTTCTGAACTCACTGAAACATCTTCAGCTGCCCTTATTTCCTGGAGGGCTGCTGGAGAGGCCTCTGTGGCTGCTAAACATGGAGAATGAGGCCAAGGAAAATCATGTAGCTATGGACTCAGAAATATCTGTACCAAGTCCTGAAGCCTAATCGGGGCAAGATTCAGGCCTCTTTTTTTCTTCTGTCCTTTGGTCTCTCTGGGAATTCAATCTACCCTCCTCCTCCCTGGTTACCACTCTAACTCACCCCAGGATGATATAGGCCTGCAGGAGGGCTTGGAATTTCTCCAGCCGGGCTAATCAAGAGGCAGGTACTCTAAACGTCCTGTGAGTTTCCATCGTGATGAGACACACCTGACTGGAGAGATTGCTGTGGGGAATGACACAGGCTTCTAGACAATGGGGGACACTGCCTGGATTATTCATTTTTGAACTCCTGGTGCCTAGCAGAGTGCCTGGCGTGTTTGTTTGCTGAATGAATAAGTAGTGACGTTTCACATCAAATGATGCATTGTTATTTACAAAGTGATTTGTTTTCCCTGCATGAATTTATCCTCACAAGCGCCCCTACTTTACCCCTGGAAGGTAGGCAAGACTGTTTCACAGATGAGGTCACATAACTGTAGGTTGGAGAGGTGGCTGGCAGACTCTTACCTTGTTGGCATTTTTATACAGGTGTCTCATTGAGACGACCCTTCCTAAAATACCCTAAGAGAGGTATGTATAGGGAGTCAGATAGACATTTGTGGTCTCTGCATTTTGTTCCTAAATCTGGGGTAGATGTATTCTTCATCTAAGTCTCTCACTAATGGTATTATTTTCTGCTGTTTGCTAATCACTGCAGGTGTATAAATTTTCAATTACATCTTGAGTTAAATAGAATTTCAGGGCTAGCCTGGTAAACTGGCAAATCCTCATGTAGTTTGTAGTAGCTATCTCCTGATAGAGATTTAGCATCATACACTATCGTATCTAATACAGTTTTTGGTTCATACACTATTGCATCTAATGCAGTTTTTGGTAATTTCAATTAACTAGATTGTAGCTTTATGGGCCTGGGTCTTCAAGAAACATATGTTCCAACATTCTCCCTGCTTAACTATATCCTTACTCTTGTTGAACTTCTATGACCTTATTGGAAATCAATGCTTCTGATCTTCCAAATGTATTGTTGAGGAGAGACCTAGACGAAATCACTATACAAAATGCTTTGAGATTGCAGGATGTGGAGAGCGTGCTATCCTTAAAATGAATGGTTCTGCTTGGAGGTAAACCATGTTTTAACTCTGCGTGTATATTGTGCACGAGGGAATTTCCCTGTGCAGAATAATTTTCGCCCAATAATTCGCACGATCACAGCACTACTGGTAGCAGGTATCTCCTAACTTCCCTGCAGCAGCTTGGCTAACGCGAGCTTTCCTCTCCTAGCAACTGTTGCTAGGAGGGGCGTGGCTTCGGAGTCGGGCGAGGACGCGTTAGGCGGCCCGCTCCCTCCGCACCGCCCCCCCCGGCGTAGACTACACTTCCCGTGATGCTCGAGGGTGGTCTCCGTAGTGACGCCTTTGGTGTTCGCGGAGGGGGAGGGGGAGAAGGAAGGCGGGGGCGGTGGCTGCGAGGGGGGGCCGTGCTCTTCCCATGTCCCCGACTCGCGCTCCGGCAGCCGCCGCCGCCGCCGCCGCCGCCATGTTGGCTTGAGGGGCGATGACAGGAGGCGGCTGCGGCGTCGGGTACTGAAAAGTGGAGGAGGAGGAGGAGGAGGAGGAGAGACAGAGCTCTGAGAGGAAGCGGTTCCCGGGCTGAGGAGAGGAAGGACCCGGGCTCTTCCGGGGCCCAGCCGAAGTCGGCGTCGTGGGCAGCTCGCGAGGCCGGGGAGGGGAGGGGAAGGCGGAGCCGGGGGAGGCGGAGGCGAGAGAGGAGCGCCGGGAAGCCGGAGACTATGTGTCCTGAGCCCCGCGGCTGCCCGGAGGCGCCCGCGGCCTGAACCCCGACGGGCCGTGGGGTCTCCTGCCGGGCCTAGCGCCCCGCTTTCCCCGCTCGCCGCCCCGGCTCTCCGGCCCGGGCTTGCGCTTCGGCTGCCAACGAGTTAAATGCCCTTGAGCGCGGGTTTCCGCGGCCCGGCTGGCAACGCCGGCCGCGCGAGTTGAGCCGTTTCCCCGCGCCGTCCGCCGGGGGACGCGTCCATGTGTAGCCACATAGTTATCTGTGTACCGCGGCGCCGGGGCATTCTCTTCCTGCTTAATGAAGACTCGACTTGGGAGCAAGTGTGAATCACTGCCGGGCTGGGAAAGGAGGAAGACGATTTAACCCCCTCCCACCCCGCTCCATGTCCGTGTGTCACTCGGCTCGGTCCACCTGGCGCGGCCGGTCCTGGGGCTGCTGCTGCTGACGACGACGACGGGGCTCCTACCCCAGGAGTTCCCTCCTGGTCTGGTCACACCGCTCCCGGCGATTGTTCCTCTTCGCTCGGAACCTCGGCCCGGCCGGCACTTTGGCTCCGAAAGAACTTATTTTAGGGGGAAGCACATCTCGAACCAGTCAAGATCGTGAAGGTTGATTTCTGTAGCTCGAAGATTTCTCATTTTTGTTTGTTGTTGTCTCTTTTTGATTTTTTTTTTCGGCGTAAACATCTGGGTATATATATCAAACGGCAAGATGTCCAGTAATGTCCCGGCGGATATGGTAAGTGAAGGATAAGAGTTACGACACCCTTTGATTTAATTGTGGTTTCCAGTCTTATTAAATCAGGATACAGGCGTGGGGTGAAGGCTTGCGGGGGACTGTTGAAAAGCCACGGTGCTGGGAGATCTGGAGAAGTTGGAGGGTCTGGTGTCCCTCTTGAGGAGGTACTGCTTTTAATGCGGATTTTTCTCATTTGTGTTTTCTAAACGATTAAAGACAATGGAGAAGTTGGGAACAAGTAGCAAGGTAGCCTGAAGTGGAGAAAATCTCTTCTTCTTTGCTAGAAGCCTCTGAACACTTGTGTCTTTAAAGCTTCTGAAAACGTCAGTGGCAGTGGGCAGAGCTCAGGACGGGTGTCCCTGCTAGATACAGAGGTGGACAGGAAAACGGGGATCGTGCTCGGTGGCACTGATCATTAACGCAGTAGGTACAAGCTTGATATTTCCAAAAACAGGGACGTGTTATCTCTTGGAGAGAAACTTGACCAGAATTTGCTGTGAGCTTTTTGAAACGTATGGGTGAACAAGTATGGCAACAGAAATATTAAGACGTTTTGGAATTTTCACAAATCTAGGCTGTATTTTGGTACTTTTAATGAATATTCCAGGACTTAAGAGTACCAAATATTTAGTAGTATTACATCATTGGACTTTTAAAAGCTCATAAAACACATTATTGATTGAGCCTTCATCCTGGAATGTTAAGAACCTGAAACAAAAAGTACTCTGCGTAAAGGTTAAGGATATGAGACTGTTGACTAACAGGAACTGTGTAGGTTTACAGTGCTGGGATGTGGGTTTGTATGAGTGTGAAATTACACTTTGCTGTCCTAGGGACAAACGTAATGCAATTATCAGGAAGGTGAATAATCTTGTTTATGAAAGAATTGAAGTTAACATAGTTATGCTCACTTACATGAAGTTAACATTTGAGTGTTTGTGTATTTCAGCGATAAAACAAAATGGAACTTTCCTGGTGATTAAATTTTAAAATGACAGATGTTTCAATAAGAGTGAACCTCATTTACAGGCTGTAAAATAAAAATTAAATGGCTCTAACTGGCATAATTTGACCTTGGTTTAAAGACATTTTGCTAGCGTTTGATTTCCCTTTTAGTGCACTATTTAAATGCAAAGGAACCACAGTGTTCTGTCTCTAGGGTGGCCACATAGCAACCTTACACTCTCCTTCCTGATTCTTAAAACTCGAGCATTGTCCTTTTAGTTTTCCCTTCCCTCCTGGTGTGCACACCGGAGAGTAGTCTCCGGCCTGCTTGAGGATAGCTGGACTTGATTTCCTCCACCCTACTCGCGAAGTTGCCTGGAGAGGTCTCTGGACAGAGCTGGAAAATGCTCTTTCCTCTGTTGGATAATTGCTCTGTGGGCTCATCACCTCCAGCAAAGATTGGCTCTCTCTCTAAAGCCTCCATCTTATATCATCATGCGCACTGTGAGATATGATCACCCTTCGTACTATTTATCTGCCATAGAAGTTGTCGTGAAATAGATTTGTGTCATTAAAACAGTGCCACAACTTTATTTAGGCCCAGTGATGAAGAAAAGCTGGAATGTGGGTAGCATCAGTCACAAATTGAGATGATTTGGGGAATACTGTTTCCAAGTCAGAGAGAAGGTTTGGAAGCTAGTGTTCGTATCAGGGGACCGGGAAGTACTGCAAGGTTTTATTAGTAGCTGCAGTTATAAAATACAACTATTTCTGTTTCAGACTGTATTTTAAGGCCTTGATGATTCTTTGGTGCTTTGAGATCCCTTGATTAAAGGTGATATGCAAGGGCAAAGCAGTATTATGTAATAAACATATAATGCCCTGGTGATGCCATTTCAGAGTGTATCTAAGGTACAGCTCATATTAGATGGTTCTGAATATTTTTTATGTGTCATTTTCTAGCTGTCCAACTTGTTGGAGGTCTTGAGGGGTTTTTCCAGCGTTAAAACCTTTTAAACCTTCATTTGCTAGTACTTACATTGCATTTTTGCTTAAGAAGTGCCTTTATTTGATATGTACCTAGAATCCTCAACTTTTTGAAATATGACATGATAAATACTGGTTGAAAGTTGTCGATTAAATGCTTCATATTTGTTCAACTTTTTATTATCAGTAATTGACAGTCTGCATTTACATCTGTGACTTAAAGTGAGAAGACTTTTACCACTCTTGGAGAGCGTCAGCCGGTCCACTCCCACCTCTTTCCACACTCTGACATTTCCCTTGAAGTACAACTCTAAAGTGATCAGGATACACACTCTTGCAAGTACGAATACGTACATTTTTGCTAGATGCAGTAAAAATGTCAAGTTTCTCAGTGGCGACAGTTCGTATGTGCTATTTAGAAACAAATGTTACGCTGTTTCATGTGTTAACGGTGCCTGTCAGTTGTATAGGAAAATCCTGTTTAGGAGACGAGGTGGGGCAGTGAAGTTATAACCCCTGTCATGTTTTCACTGGAGATAGTTCATAAATGAGCTATAATAATTGCTAAATCATTTGATGTTTTTGGTAAAGCCTTCTTACGGCAATTATTGTGACTCTAAAATCGATTTTTTAGCATCATTTTTTTTATTTCGTAAATATAACTAACATTTAAAATTTATTTTTAAACATTCAGTAAATTTTTTTGTTTACCATAAGTCTCTTTTTCTTACAATCCAAATTTAGCAAGTCAGTCTTTTGAGGATGGGTGGGAGTGGTACCCCCAGTGAATGGATTTGCTATATTCTTTACAAAAAATAATTTGCAGTTGATACTTTTTCAATGAACATTCTGTAAGGATGTCCTATAAATGATATAAATGTGTTTACTTAAAACGTTGGCTTTTCCTTTGCTAAGAGTGATTGAGTTTGAACTAAGTGATTTACTAACATTCCAGTGTAATAACTTATTTGTGAGAAAAATCTGAAAATATCTGAGCAGAATATCATTATAATACATTGTGTTTAAATGATTCATTTTTTTCGACTCAGCACAAATCATAGTTTATGATGGGCAATATTCACTGTTTATAATTGTAGCATGAATTATGTTAATGACTTAGGTTTTTCTGAAAGAAAACGTTTACTCTTTCTGTTAGTAATAAAGCCTAAGGCTGGGTAGATAAGCTGGTAATTTTCTGGATTTGGAAAATTATGAAGAAATAAATTATTGTATTTATAAAACTATTATATAAGACATCTGAACTACTATTTAGAGTTTTGGATTGAAAGTATACTTCATGATATCTGTAAAATTGAAAATGCTGCCTAAGAGAGACATTGACAATTAGTGTGAGAATAATGTCAAAGCAATTTTGGTTATTCAAAATGTTTTAAATGATAAAATACAGAAAAACCGTGTATCTTTTAAAACTATTAATGTAAAATTGTAGCAGATGTAACCATTTTTAGTTGGGGTTAAGTGAGCTAATGATAATTTGAGTTTTTTCAGTGCTTAATGAATATTTTTATTGTAATGTCATATCTGTAACATTTGTGGAAGAAATGTTGGAGCCCTCTAGTGGACAGGAAATTATTTAAATGAATTTTTTTCAAACTGAAGTTTTGTCACTTTTCCAAGTTAAAATGACAGATATAGAATAGAGTATGCCAGGGGAAAATGTCATCCTCGATAAAGGTCTAGAGAATAGAAAAATTTTAACTTTGAAGAAAGGGTATATTAAGATCTAATGCCCAAGCAAGGCAAAAACAACAAATAACATACAAGGGAATCCCCATAAGGTTAACAGCTGATCTTTCAGCAGAAACTGTGCAAGCCAGAAGGGAGTGGCAGGACATATTTAAAGTGATAAAAGGGAAAAACCTACAACCAAGATTACTCTACCCAGCAAGGATCTCATTCAGATTCGATGGAGAAATTAAAACCTTTGCAGACTAGCAAAAGTTAGGAGAATTCAGCACCACCAAACCAGCTTTACAACAAATGCTAAAGGAACTTCTCTAGGCAGCAAACACGAGAGAAGGGAAAGACCTACAATAACGAACCCAAAACAGTTAAGAAAATGGTAATAGGAACATACACATTGATAACTACCTTAAATTTAAATGGATTAAATGCTCCAACCAAAAGACATAGACTGGCTGAATGGATACAGAAGCAAGACCTGTATATATGCTGTCCATAAGAGACCCACTTCAGACCTAGGGACACCTACAGACTGAAAGTGAGGGGATGGAAAAAGATATTCCATGCAAATGGAAATCAGAAGAAAGCTGGACTAGCAGTTCTCATATCAGGCAAAATAGACTTCAGAGTAAAATCTATTACAAGAGACGAAGAAGGACACTGCATAATGATCAAGGGATCCATCCAAGAAGAAGATATGACAGTTCTAAATATTTATGCACCCAACATAGGAGCACCTCAATACATAAGGCAAATGCTAACAGCCATAAAAGGGGAAATCGACAGGAACAAAGTCATAGGAGGGGACTTTAACACCCCACTTTCACCAATGGACAGATCATCCAATATGAAAATAAATAAGGAAACACAAGCTTTAAGTGATACATTAAACAAGATGGACTTAATTGATATTTATAGGACATTCCATCCAAAGACAACAGAATACACTTTCTTCTCAAGTGCTCATGGAACATTCTCCAGGATCATATCTTGGGCCACAAATCAAGCCTTGGTAAGTTTAAGAAAATTGAAATCGTATCAAGTATCTTTTCCGACCACAATGCTATGAGACTAGATATCAATTACAGGAGAACATCTGTAAAAAATACAAACACATGGAGGCTAAACAATACACTACTAAATAATCAAGAGATCACTGAAGAACTCAAAGAGGAAATAAAAAAATACCTAGAAATGAATGACAATGAAAACACGACAACCTAAAAACCTATGGGATGCAGCAAAAGCAGTTCTAAGAGGGAAGTTTATAGCAATATAGTCCTACCTCAAGAAACAAGAAACATCTCAAATAAACAACCTAAACTTACACCTAAAGCAATTAGAGAAAGAAGAACAAAAACCCC